TCATCATTCATACAAAATGATAACAAACCCAGCCATCTGCTGAAAAAGCTCAGGCTGGCCATAAATCCACTGGGTCTCTTAGATTTAAAAAAGGGGAACACGCTTCAAAGCAAAGAAGCTCTTACGCAATGCCAGCCCCATCCCTGGGAGTGCTGAAACATTTAATCACCTAAGGAGGGGGAGATGCACCGAGGCTGGGGAGCCCTGGGTCCATGTTATTTATTCCTCTTACATAACCTCCTGCATTATTTGTTGATTGAGTGGTGGCTTTTTTTTTTTTTTTAACTGAATTTGTCCCTCAGTTGCCAAAAGAGCTTAGTGCTAAATTGCAGCCCTCCCCAAATGAAAAGCAAACCTCGCCCACAAGCAAAAACAAAACTCCATCACAGATTGAGATTTTTTTTTTTTTTTTATCTAAAACAAACAACCCCCAGGAACAACCCAGGAAAGAAGGTACAGCAAGCAACGGGCACCTTGCTGACACAGAAAATGAGAGCTGGCCTGGCAGGACAGAAGGACAGAGCTCCCCCTCTCCCACAAACCTATGCGGCTGCAACCATTGCTTGAATCACCTGCTACATATTTTCTTTACCCTCCTGCAGGGAAAATGTTTTATTGATAAGGCCTCTCCTAGCCTTGTGATTACCCCCCTAGGGCTGAGTGAGATTTGAAGCTGGTCAGCTTGACATCATGTCTAGACGGTCTCTTTCGTTGGCAGGCACTCAGTGCACCTGAGAACAGACCGGCGAGTCCAATAATGTGCAAAACCGGGCAGGAGGAACCTTTAGGGGCATTTTGGACACAATGAGGAGACTGTGTGCACTGAGATGCTCACGTACGTCCATACCACACCACATACATCGTCCTCTTGTGTGAGTACACGCACAGCTGTGCCCCGTCCTGTCCAGGAGCCCAGCAGTTTGACAATTAAAGCACTCTCCGTGTTTCCAGCAAGCACACACGCAAGCACAGCCACACACACAGCAACAAGGCTGCCCCTGACGCAGATGCAGATGCACAGTATCAGCAGGGCACCCCCGACCCCTGAGCCCCTGGGCAGTGACTGGGCAGGGAGACAGTCCCTGTGGGGGTGACTGTCCCTGTGCTGCTTTGTGTGTGCTGGGGACACCGCACCTCCAGCCCTCTGCTCCCTGCCTGTCGCATCGTAGCTGAGCTGCCTGGGCTATCCCCCTGCGCTTTACAACCTGATGCTTTCAGGCAGCCAACATCAGTACTGGTTCACCTTAAAACAAAGCAGCTGTGGACCAGTTTCACAAAGCTGGAAGGGGAAGGCACAGTATCTGCCTTAGAGTGAAAAGCACAGCCCCTTGTACAGCAGACCCCTGGGTACACGGTGCCCATGTGTAGGTGCCTCTCATTGTGCCTGCTGGCATGCAAACAACCCCGTTTGCACATGAAAACGGAGCTACAGCCCTTGCCCTGCTCTCTTCCAGGGTAAGCACCAGCGCTTGGTCCAGGGTCTCTATTCACAGGCATTCATGTGCAAAAGGAAAGGGTGGAGATGCTGAGATTCCCCCAGGACAGCCAGGCACTACGGCTGCCCTTGTCAACTTCCAGGCTCACATGATAAAGCTGCTGTCTGCAGCCCCAGCCCCTGCCAATTGAATTGTTGTCTGGGCCAACCAACACCCACAGGGCCCAATCCCTTTTGTGCTCTCCCTCTTTGAACTGGCTAGAAACCATCCCAGTGAAAACCTCTGGTATTTTTAGGCCAGAGCAGAGCTGCCTGAATGGCTCATGGCTGGTTCCCTTCCTGCCCCATGGGAAGGCGGCGCGCGGAAGGCAGGCACGGTCACAGCACGCTGCTTTGCGGCCATCCTCGGCTGCCTGGGTACCACAGAAAGCCTGCGGCGGTTTCTTCCCAAAATAATATAGGCCTGAAGACATATAGATGGAGCTCAGAGCTTGCTCAGAGCCACCTTTGCTGAGAAGCAGGACCAAGGGCGTGAGGACTGCTTCCTCTGGTCCTGGTTAGCAGCTGACTGACTCAGCCGGACATCCATCACGCAGCGAAACGTGCTAATTGTCTTGATCTGTGCTCCCCAAACCTGCCAGCTGCGGCCAGTGCCCACAGTTGGCAAACCCCACCCTCATTATCTGCTCCCCACCCTCATCTTTCCAAGGCGCCTCGCTCCGTGGTGCGCAATTAGGCACCCGCCATCCAGTTGCTCCCAGGCCGGTTTGTCATCGCCAGCGCCTGTTCGGGAATGTTTGTTGGGAAGCACATGGTGGTGGCAGGGTCAGGGGATGTTGTTGAGGCTTTTCCTCTTGCGCCTGGGGGCCGGAGAGCTTTGTGCATTTCTCAGTATGTTAAACTCAATTAAAAAAAAAAAAAATTAAAAAAACAACATCAGGATAACTTAAAGCAGATGTGAGCACAACAAGGCTGAGACCCTTCTGAGCACAAACATGGCCATTTCATTGCAATTCCAAAGGGCTTTTCTGGCAAGCCTCCCCTCCATGTCCTACATTCTTTCATTCCAAGGAAGACAAACAATTCAGGCTGGAGCAGCAAGGCACGTTTTTCAAATAAACAGGTTCCCTCAAACAATTTTTTTGCTGTTGTGTCACCCCAATACACACATTCCTCTCTTAAAGGATCTTTGGGGATGATCGAAACGAGATTTTGGCTATGTTCTGGCATTTCTGTCACACCTTTTGTTTGCAGAGCTCAAAGCACCTCACTCAACCCACGTGAGTCTCTCACGCGGTGTTTTCACCTCCGTATCCCAACACAGTATCAGCACAACCTCATGTTATGGGGAAAATCTGTGCCATTTGTGGATGATAAACCCCAAAATCCTATGGAGGCTTTCGTAGCCTTTCACAGATGGAAGGGGGACAAACGAAGCATGGCCGGAATGTGAAGGTCACACTTGCCAGGGGCTGGGGACCCACCCTCTGGTAAGGCAGGTCACTTGAGTGTTTCTGCTCCTCACCACCCCGTCTGTGGGTTACAAGAGCACATAACCCCACTTTACCTTACAGTTCTCACCTCTGGAGAACATCAGGAGATGGGTGGAGACAACTCCAAAACCTACACCTGGCATTTAAGACCGTTTCTCCAGCGCCTTCCACGTACAAGCAAACAAAACCCAGGTAGACTCAGCTTACAGCTCAGCCTTCTGCCCGGGGCAAACAAATATCCCGTCCTGGCAATCCTCATTGCAGAGCAAGACTGCTTGGAAACACGCTGAGCTGCCCTGGGTACACAACCTGAAGGATTTCGTACACCTTCCAGTCAAATGGAATTTAGAGTAATAAAATAGGTAGTAAATAATGAGTAGTAGATGAAGCAAGTATAATAGGGTATAGCAAATAATAAATAGATAATAAAATTGACTAGTTTACACAAGATAAAAAGAGGGCTTGAAATAAAGGAGAATGCCTCCTGCAGTATGGTCACAGAGGAACAGTTTGAGGACAGACAAGAGGTGAGTCCAGAGCTGAACGCTTTCAATCCGTGCCACTTTCTGGCCAGGCCCAACAGCTTCATCACAGGTTTCAGAGCTGGACTGAGCAAGGTGCTGTTGCCTTAGTGAGACAAGGGTGCAGAAGTGCTGGCCAATGTCACTGCAGGGTAGGGACTCCAGTGCAAGGGAAGAAGCAAGAGCAATGAGAGCCGTCAGAGCCCACCTCTCAGAGGAGGTGGATTGTTGCATCCTGTAGGGACACAAATATCTGCCTCACCCTTCTAATAGGATTTTCATATTCTTCATGAGCTTAACATGGGAAAATACGTTCAAAAAAAAAATTGATCATTCCAAATCATGATGATGAAAAATCTTTAAACCTCCCAAATCCCTCTAAATCCCTTCACAGGATTCTGTATTTCTCACAGTACGTTCCTTTGGTTAATTCTGCCACTGAGTTAAGGTACCCAAAGGAGAAATAAAAAAAGCTCTGCTTGAAAAACATTTTTCTTTGAGTACTGGACTTCACAGGACCTGAAAAACCAAGGGACAAGCACCCCACATCAGCGACAGCTGCATAAACTTCCTGAGCACAATAAATTAATCATAATAAAAGACTTTTTTTTTCTTTTTTTTTCTAAATAATACAGTTAGGTACCAAAGATAAAATGGTTATTTCCCAGAATTGTTCCTGTTTGGCATGGATCCTGATTGCTTAGATTAAGAACTTTTCTTATTGAGCTTTGCATAACCTCTACCCTCAAAATCTGGGGAATGTCTTAAATGGAAAACACAGAATACACTAAAATCCCAAACATTCCTGCCTTTTGCGTTCCCTCACTCCTTCAGCAACTCACCCAGGGCTGCACAAGCAGCAGTGTGTGATGGCTGCATCCAAGCTAACTTCTGGCTACTGGGAACAATTCTGAAAGTTGGATGAGACTGAACAGAGCAAAGCAAATCACTGGCTAAGTCTAGCCATATTTGCCCCTACTTGTGTGGAACGGTTAATTGCCTGCTTAAGGGTTTCAGGCTTTTTCCGTTATTGATTGATGCTTCACATCTCCCTGCCGACAGTGCTTGAAAGCTGTTTGCTGTCAGCCTTGGTTATGTACTGCTCTCTAGCTGGTTCTCCACCACAAAACCATGGCTCCAGTGTGATGTATGAATGGGCAGGACACGAGAGCTCTGTGCCTACTGTCTGGAGCCAGCTCCAGCACGTGAGTTGGGAACGACAGCCTAAACCTGAGCTGACACATTTGAACTGTAATGGCCTCTAACATAAAAACAAAACAACAAAAAAACAAAACCAAAAAAAAAAAACAAAAAACACAAAGATAAAGCTACTAAGTGCAAGAGGGGAAACTGGCATTTTGGGATAGAGGAGTGGGGCCCTTGAAATTATCATGCAAATCTGGAGGCTTTTCAGCAATTTCGGCTAAATCCTTCAGGCCTGTGCACACAGAGAGGTTAATTTGGTTTCAAGCAGTATGGATTAAAAGCAGAACAGTTCATCCTGATTAATTCCCTCTGTGGTCACTCCTATTTCGGAATAAAAATGCCTAATTCAGAACCAGTGCAATTCACCCTTAACCTGCTTTAAGGTTATTAAGAGTGAGTCAGGCTTTTCCAACACCAGTGTTCAGAGAGACAACTGCTTGCAAATAGCCAGGAATTGCTTCACATGAAGGCAAACCCCTACTAGGTCAGAAAAAACACCTGAAATGTGGTATATTTACTAGATCAGATTCAGATATCGATTATACCATTAAGAAGTTCAGGTTGCTTCTGTTTTCTTCCGTGAGCCAGCTTTTGATCTAAGACACTGCAACCAAGATAAGAATCTGACCACTGACTTTAGAGGAAGTTTTTCCAAGAACAGGAAAAAAAAAAAAGTATTAGCAAATCTCCAGCAATGACTCAGGGAGCCACTCATACAGGAAAGGGTGACAGGACATAGCTTTTATTTCTATGTAGTTAGTTTAATAATCAGTGGTCTGAAAAGATTCAGGAGAGGAAAAGCATTGAAGGTCTTGAGATGCTTATAAGTTTTTAGCTAGAATTTGTGTTTAATCTGTTATAACAATGTAAAGAAAAAGTTTTATGATCTTTTTCTAACACAGATGCAAACTGTTATGAGCTGAAGGGAACATTATACCATAGCCAAGGATATGTGAAAACTGGAGGTAAGCTATCAACAAACTACCCATGAGCTCAGGGGATGCTCTGGGGCCTAAATGTGGAAATACCCAGCAAATCCCCACTGAGCTCTCAGAGGAAGCATTGCTTCAGAACCTGCCTTCTGCTCAGGAGTAAAGCCTGCATGAACTATGTGCAAATCTGGGTTTCTATCCATCATCCATTCCCCCCTCCAAAACACAGCCACCTCAAAAAGGGGCCATAGCAACTCTTTGAACACTTAGGGCAACATGACAGAGCAGGCTAAGTAAAGGTGAGGTAACTAGGATGGACTGTCTGCTCCTACAGCAACTCATTCAAATTTCCTTCCCCTCAGGCAGAACTTTCCCTACCAAATTCACACCCCCCTTACACCACAAACTCTTTCCATCACCAGGCTAAAACCACATCTTGCGCAAAGTGATCTCAGAGATGCTGATCCTAAAAACTGCATTAATAAATCTCTGCAATGGATGGAAAAGGAGGAATTTCCTGACTAAAAAGGTGAGCAGCACTAGGGGAATCTTTAAAATCTGGAAGTTTTAGCCCAAAGCACCTTTAAAGCTTCTGCTGTCACTCAGACTGGCTTGCTGTGGTGTCCTATGGGACTTTGGGTTTGGCAATAATATACGTCAATTTGCAGATCTTTGAGATTAAGCAGATTAATAATAGGCAGATTGAGTGATTTGAGAAAAAAGGCTAAGATCTTAGGGTGTTGGACACCATGTAAACATCACTCACTGTTATTTACTCCTCGTGAAGTGCCACAGGGTACACAGAATAGGGCAGGAGGGGGCCCGGCACCAGGCTGCAAATGGTCAGGGATGCCAAGCTATAAATATGCTGATATATTTTTACATTTGTTGTGGCAAAGTCAGGATGGTCGTTGTGATGCTGGGATGTTGCTGGGGCTGTTTTCTAATTATAATTAGATTCCGTTACTTTTCCAGGGTCATTATCAGAGGCACGGTCATGTGTGCTTGCTTTTAAATGCTCCTGGCCCAGCTAATTACTCTGGGCACAAGGGAACTCCATGGGCCAAGGGGAAATATTTCCAGTCCCAGGAGCGCCTCCTCCCGCTGCCAAGGGGTGGGTACCATTCCTTGTCTGACACCACCACGGTCCGCAGCAGGGCCATGCTAAAAGATGCTGTGACTCGTTTCCCAGTGCCAGCTGCAGTGAGCAGCTGTCCAGCAGCACATTTCAGGGGTGCTGGCAGTCTCCCTACAGGTGCTCCTGCCTTGCCCTTGCTGCCCGCCCTTACTTGCTGGTGCCCTCACGTCTGTAGGCTTCTTTTTTTGCACCTGTGGATTCAGAGGCAGGATTTGAAAGCAAATGTGCTGGAACATTTTCAGAATCCAAAAATAAACAACACCTGTCATTATAAGTGATCTGCTGAAGCAGCCATACGTGAATGTCCATGCCTCATCTGAGCGCCTGATGCTGAAAGGGCTTTTTGCTGTTGCTCACGGTGCTCTTGCTCTGCGTTCCCCAAGTGCCACTACGAGAACCTTTCCAGACAGGCTGCAAGGAGCCGTGCCCAGGAAAACCAGCCCCTAGGCTCTGTGGATGAAGCTGATGTGCAAAAAGATTCCAGCTGAAAGCACCAGAGGACTTACCGGAGCACCTCCTCACCTACAAATCCACAGGGAAGTGGAATTAAATGATTGGACTTGACAGCTAGGGAGAGGTATGCTGTCTCTGTTTAATCTTCCTTGTAGGATAACACCACCAAGACAAGGGCAGGGTACGGCCTATCGCACTAATACAGCCCTTCAGGAGTTTTCTTCGGAATTGTATGCCACCAAGGGCATTTCTGACACTAAAAAAAATGTAGAAAGAAACAAGAGATGGTTCCATACAAATGTACCAACCCTCCCAGAAGCCTTGGCCATATAGCCCAGGCACTGTTCTGCCTCGTCAGGTTTGGTCGATGCTCAGGTGCACTTCATCTCTTTGATACAGAAGCCAGATTCCAGATGCTGCATGTGAGCCACTGCCAGGATGCCACCCACACTGTGCAATGGCCCCTGCAACTGAAATGTAAAGACTTGTGGAGCATCAGACCCCACAAACCTTACTGTATTTATGGAGATGTACCTTTGCAACTGAGGCATTCCTTATATTTTGGGTTTGAATGATGGAGATGCCAAGGGAAAAAGCATTTGAGATCATCCGTGGTACTGCTTTTACCAGATGCAGACTCTTCTTTATGGGGTCTCCCTGCACGTGAGAGGAAGAAGTGTCTGACTTGATTGTTTCATCCAACCTTCCACAATAAGGATTTGTGTTTTTCCCTGATTATACTGGCTTTATGTCCAGAAAGCAATGTATCGGTGCCCAGTACATATCTTTCTTTGCCCACTATCAAGCCCTGAATTCTCTTCTCCTTTTTACCAAGAGCTCTTTCCCTTCCTGATGATGCTTCCTCGCATACACCTGCAGACTGTTTTCAAACCTCCTTTTAATCATCCTGCAGAGCTAGGCTACACATATTTAGCTCCATTAACCCTGCTTTACTTAGCCACTACACTGCGGGGCAGGATGCTCTCATCAAATAACCCTTCCCCTCCCGCTCTGTGTGACCATCAGCACACAGGACCTCTGCAGCCCGGGGTGCTCCACAGGTGGGTACGGCCAGGTGACAAGGAGAGCATTCCCCCCTGCTTTACAGCTTGGAACTACAGAGACAATCCAAAAGAATCCTTCACAGTTCTAAGAACCCTATATTCACCCTCTAAATCAGGAAAGCTAATTGGCCTCACTGCTCTGACAGTGTTTTCTCTCGGGAAAAAGAAGTGGCACTACTTCTTCAGCACTCAGACCTTCTGAATGCCGATGCCAAATGTGTTTCTCTCAATTAATATTGGCAGAATGAAAGGGCTTTCTTCTCTGATTCAGCCTTCTCTCCCAGGATAAATCTTTTTGGAATTTGCTTTATATATTGTGCTTTTGAATGTTCTTTTAAATGTTAAAAAATGACTGTGTGAGAATGTCGCCTTCTCATTACCAAAATTTACTACATATTTTCCTCCATTGTTACCCGTACAGTTCCAGCAGTGTTAACAATGGGAAGCCTAGAGCAAATGGTCTGGCACCAGCACTTGTCATCTAACTATGGCTGGTCAAAAATGTGTTGGAAAAGTGGTTTTGTGTTTTTTTTTTTTTTTTTTTTTTTTTTTTTTTTTTAACGTGCTTGTTTTGAGTAAGCACTTCCAAATGATTTTTTTTTTTTTAACTAAACAAAAATCCAATCTTAAGTTATATTTTAATCAGGAAAATAGTGGTTTTGTATCTTTTTTGGGGGGAAAACCTATGCTAGTGAATAAACGAAAATAGGTTCTCCACTCCCCTGCTTTTCTTGATTGGAAGCTAATAAACAAACAAACAGACAAAAAGATAAGGAGAGTATGATTTTTTTCATCAGAATGAAATTAGAAATGATTTTTTTTTAATTCATAATTTCTTTTAAAATGGATGAAAAAACTTCTGTAGTCTTTAAAATATTTACTCACCTCTTTGTAACTCAGACAACTGTCAGTACAACATGCCCCATCACATGACACTACACAAGCAAATTTTCAGGTTTCCACAAAGCTTGCAACACTGCAGGTAATGGGAGCCCAGCTACATTCAGCAATGGTAGGAAATGATTTAAAAGTGCTTGTAGCACTGGTGGGAGAAGCAGAGCAGCAAAGCTCTCTGGCAGAAGCTCTGCGGGAAGTCAGAATGGTCCTCTCTGATAATAAAACTTAGGAATCTACAAAATCTACTCATTGGAAACTACTGCTTTTTTTTTTTTTTTTTGTCCCTTTTTGCAGTTACTTCAATCTCCTTTGTTACCACAAATCTTTGTTGTAACTAAAACACAGAAGAAAGCACATCCTCTGAAATCCTTCAAATCCTTCAGCTGTGCCTTCCTAGAGCCATGGAAACAGTTTTGCATGCCCAGGGCAGGGCAAGGTGGATTTTTTTTTATTATTATTATTTTTAAACTTGTGGTCTGTCATAAGGTCCTTTTGTTTCTCTTGTGAATATTCAAATCAAAATCCTGGACTGCGGCATTTTTATTTTGACTCTGATAAGAGGTCACACCTGGGCATGACCTGAACTTGACCAGCCTCCCTTGCCAACTGCTTTTCATATTGTTCTCATAATGAATTTAAGTCATCAGCTGTTAATGCTTCTGCAACCCTACTGCTTCCTTCCTGGTGTTAGACAAGGATTCAGAGGACCCAGTTAATACTCAGAGCTCTATCCAATTTAAGAAGAGGATTTGGAATTCAATTAGGTCACTTACTGGCTGCTTCTGAACCTGAGCTGGGACTAAAATGTGTCCAAACCTTCCATTGGGTCAGACTGAAATAACCCAAGATACAGCAGCGCACCTGAACCCAAGCCCCTCCCTGCTTCCCATGCAATGCTCTGCGTTTCCCGTGGCACCGTGGAAATGCCTGCATTTGTATAGGAACTCACTCTCCGACAACGCAGCCCCATCTATTTGATGCTGGCATAAAGTGAGATTATTAATAGCGTGTGATCTACCGTGCCTTCCATCTGAGGATCTCTCTCAAAGCATTTTAGAAGGCTGAATCAATTTTCAAAACACTCCTGTGTAATGCTATCCCCATTTTACTGGAAGGTAAACCAAGGCAGTGGGAGGTATTTTTCCCAAGGGTTCGTTCGTTGGTGGAGTCAGAAATAGAGCCCCGGGCCTGTGCTCCAAATATAGCCTCCATTCTCATCCCGTGGCCGCGAGCTGGCTGCAGGAGTCCCCCCATCACACCCTCGACATCCCTCCTGCCTGCTGGGTCCTGCTTCCCAAACTGCTGCCTGTTGCCATGGGAACGGCAGTGCAGCTCCATGGACCAGGCTGGCTTCAGCTGTATTAATGCAAATTGAGAGCAAATTCACTGCAGTTAATGGAGCTGCTCCAGATTTCCATGGTGGAGGGGGGTGATGAGCAGGATCAGTCCCTCTGGATGCGATAGAAGAAAGTGGTGATCCATTGAAAGTGGAGGAAAATTATTTGATCATTAGAGGGGGCAAAAGGATGAAGGGCAGCTTACAACAAAGGTATAAAAAGTAAATCTGAGAACTCAACATCACCGAGGGTGACATGACCTACTTCTGACCATTACCAGTAGAAGCTCTTAGAGGTCCCAAACAAGTGCAGTGTTTGCTCAGTGCAAGGAGGAGGAATCACCAGATTCATGCTTTCACTGCAAGAATAAGGGATGATGAAGAATGGAGTCAAAGGCAAAGAAATATGGGGGCAAGAGGTGAAGCAGAGAGACCCCTTCTACCAATCCTAACCATCAGCCCCTTGCTTCCTCCTTGCCTTGCAGCAGCTCAGCTCTTGAGGTCAGCGAGCAACAAGCAGGCTGGCACAGCCTGTGTCTCCCTGTGCTTTGTGAGCAGTGAGATGGAGGCTGGCACGGTGGGAGGAAGAGTATGGTGTGCTGCAGGGAAGGAGCATCTTAAGGGCTTGGAATTTGGCCACCCTGTGCTTATGCTAACTCAGGAAGGCTAATTTGAGATGAACTTCTCCTATGATGCTGGAAAGCAAACCATCCTGTGTCTACGGCTGAGTAAGCAGCTACTGTTTCCTGCAGTTCACACACATGCTGGAAATATCCTGCTGTAAAGCACCGTCTTGCACGCTGTCAGGGACTTGCTATTTATCTTCCTGGACCTCAAACCCTGCAATCCACAGCTACTTAGCTTCATGAATTAGTACTCAGCCACCAGCCATTTAGATTATGTTGCTGCTGGCCACCCAAGGGAAACCCTTCGGGTCAGGTAGGTTCAGTGTTCAAGGAGTTATCACCATGGCACAGCTGATGCAGATTTTCCGAGAGGAGATTCCTGAGCATCCAAGCAAGAGATGGGAAGCCTATGAGCAGCAAGGTTTGGCACCATCTGCTGTTTCTTATGGCAAAAAATCCTGCAGAACTTTCAGATCTGCCTGGACGTTTACACCGCAAAGGCTGTTCTGATGTGGGGGCAAAGGGCAGTGACATGGGACAGTGGCAGGACTCAGCACCCAATCTGGAGGACTGCAGCCACTGTTCTAGGGGGATATTACAAGATTGACCCTTGCACACACTGAGGATGCAGCAAAGATTTAGTCTGCCGTGCCCTCCTGGCATGGTGACTGCACAGAGGTGCTGAACGTCCCAGCGCTGGCTCTTGTTCATGCACGGTCAGCCAGGCGAAGGTTTGTACACATAAGTTGCAAAAGCCTCAGCATTTCTTGTGAAACATGTTATTCTTCTGCCCACCTCAAAATAAAAGGTCAATGCCCAGATTTGGTGTCTCATCACCAAAGAATTTGGATTTGTCCCATCATTTTATCATAAACCTGACCTGAGATTCAAGCTTTTAAAGAAATCCCCTGCTATATGTAAACACAAAGTTAAGGCTGAGGGTCCAAGGTGAGCAAGCACTTTGCACGCCCGCTGCTGGAACCAGCTACCAAACAAAACGTGACCAGAGATAACACAGAAATGCAGTTTGTATGTTGATATTTCTTAGCTACAGTTCTTGGAAGGTAGTGAATCCCAGTTTCCCTTTCTTTTCTCTTCCTTTTCTATCATATTTTATTTTTTTAAAAAAAGCAATTTTCCACTCTGCAAGACTGGGAAAAAGCTTGAGAAAGCAATTAACATTAAGCTCTCATAAGACTAATAATAAAATATACTCTTAAAAAATAAAAACTAGTAATTTTATGCCCATTTTCCTGCATTTGTGAAAGCCCAACATGTAAGATTTAAATGCTTCATATTGGTGACACTAGAGATGCCATTACTATGAGACAGCAATACCTATTCATGTAGGATAAGGGCAACAGGCCAAATTTCCCCTTTCCCCCCTAATATTAGACCACAATAGTCTCCTCTCATGACCCCTTTGAAGACTGATACTTGGAGAATAGACACTATCCACTGACTCAGGAGATCTAGACCTTCTATATGATTACCACAATTTGAGGGGTAAAATATTGACAAGCAAAAGCAAAAATTAGGAAAATTTGAGTGTGGTGCTTGTTGTTAAAAGTTCTGAAATCAGGCAGCTTTATTATTGGAACCCTACTTTGTAAAGCACTGCTTCAGAAAGGACATTGCTCCAGTAAAAATGGGATTACTTCCAAGTCTGATGGAAACATCCGAGTATGAGTATGTCCAGCTCCAGATGCTCTGCAAATGCCCTTTTTCTCAGAGACCTTGGAAGAGGAAGATTTAGAGAAGACAGTCACAAACATTCCCAGAAAGAGCTCCTGCTCCACACACTGTTTTTTACAGAGCTAATTCTGCTGTACACGACAGGCAGTGGTTCTAGAGTATTGCCAGTCTTTTGTGTCTGAGAATGGCAATGAAAATCCTTTGGATCTTTGATTTATCACTACTTTCTGGAAACAGAACTATATCACAGTACAAGGGAGAGAGCGACAAGGAAACATCCAAACCACATGGGCTTCTAATTTTGGCCTCCCAGACATCTTTGGCCATAGGCCTACACCAGGATACTTTACTGGGCATCATCCTCCATCCCTCCTGGCTGCCTGGGGAAGCTGGAAACCAGCGTAGTAATCCTGAGCCATCAGACTGAAGTTATAAAAGGAGCTTTGCAAAGTGAGAAAATGTCAGAAGACAGAGCTATGGCCTCTTTGCAAACAGGCCTTATCCCAGTGACTTTAGCAATATATTCAATATAGCTTGCTTTTTGCTGAATTTGTCCTGTTTCTTTTCTTCTTTTCTTTCTTTTTTTTTTTTCAATTAGCGTTCACTGCCATTTTTCAGACCATGTCACTCTGTCCCAAACGGCAGAGATCAGTTACAGTAACACTGAGCTCAAAAGGATGGAAGCTGAAAACTCCATGTCAGCTAAATATAGATACAGTCGGGTTTGCATAAATGAACTTTACCTGCAAAAGTCAAGAGCACACAGCATGTTGTGATATGTAAGCCCTTGATTACCCCTCCTAGGTAACAGGACAGACAAAGCAAAAACATCCACAGACATACTAGGCCATAATCACACAATTGTGCCATATAAAGGAAGTAGCAGTAAATTATCTCAGCTGATGCATGAAAATACAGAAAAGTGTTTGACTATCATTTTCTCTAGCATGACTTCAATGTGCTAGAGCTGGTGATTTGCTTATTTTGCAGAGCTTTTTGGCTTTGAGGGCTCAAATTCCTTTTCCCCACAGTCACAAACCAGCCTCTCCTGTTCCCATGATCCCAGAACGCATCCTACACCCACCTGCAGAATGGCCACGCGTTGCATCTACGCCATGCAAAGGAGAACCATGAAGAGATCCTTCAGCTAGCTGGCACCTGCCGGGCCACATCCACACTGTGGCTTAGCCTGGATAGAGCCAAATCAGGTGCCACGCAGATATGCCATTAGTTTCCTTCAAAGAGGTTTCTCTGTGGTGTAAAATCAGGTTCGGGTTAATTAAAGGAGGCCCTGAGCCAGTCTGTACAGTCTGGGTACTTGCAGGGAGGAGGAGGGTGCTGCAGGACGGGAATTTGCTTAATTCCGTGTGAATTTCCAGTGAGGCCAAGGTTTGGACAAACTCATTAATCTCCACAACTCTCTGCTTTCTCACATAAGAAACCAGGATATAAACGTTCCCTTTCCTCAGAAAGAGGCCAGATGTAGCCTGTTTACACTCCAATATTGATAGGGACAAAATGGCAAGACTTGTAAAATCAGTGAGAAATTCCCATCCCATTTCACAAGCATTTGGTCTTACTAAATTATGCCCAGGGAAGAAATATGAATCAATGGGGAAAAAAAAAATGACATGGGAAGTTAAAAATCTCAATGATCAACCTGACATCAAAGCATAAACCCAGTAAGGAAGGACCAGAGCTGCCTGTCACACAACAGCAACTCCCTGCACTCCTCTGGTGCAGAGCCTGACCTACTTGATATATGTTCCTGCACTAAGGCCCCGGCACTAAGTATCTTAGACCCCTCAAATCGCATTCCAGATTTATAATTGCCAAGCAGCTGTCAGCCCTGAGCCCTGCCACGGTACCTCCCCATCTGTTCAGCCCATCTAGCATTACAGCAGAGGACAGCATGAAGGCTGAAACTGTATCGGACGTGAAGGCAGAACCTGCTGCACTGCCCACAGGGCCAGATGAGATCACTTTGCACTTTCATGGTCTTGAAATCTTTCGGGCTTCAGAAGAGAAGTGGGCAGAGGCCGATCAGAAGAGGGGAGAAGGGACACCGGCACAGGGATCGAATTCTGCAACATGACTCTGGCAGCTGAGTCAAACAGACAGACACCCTTGGCTTCACTGGGGAGGAGATGTTTGACTTCTGGCAGGGCTGGGGATCATTTGAGAGCCCCTTGGAGGAAAACCTGATACCCTGACTTTCCCCACACCCTCCCCCTCCACACCCCTTGCTATTAACTCTTTGTGTAGCAGTTGTTTTCACATAGACTCAAATCATCTGTCCTGAAATGTATGCCTGGAGCAGAAGCCCCTCCTGAATTGCTCTGATAGTGCTTTGCTGGGGAGCGGCTGTCTCTGAGTCACCCTAAATAGTGGCCCCAGCCCTATTGCACTTACCAACAGTATCAGCCAAGCTCCAGATGAAAGCTGAGGACTTTTAAATCTAAAGACCGACTCTGGAGGTGTGAAGGAAGGACTTCAGGATTTGGCTCCAGCTGAACTGCACTCATTCGGTTTCAGGGGAACACGCCGCATGTTTTCTGGGAGCTGGAAGTGTTTCGACTTGTTATCTTGCCACCAGGCCGCCCATGAAACAAGCAGCGCACACAGCCCACATTCCCTGGCTCTGGGGCCCTATGGGAACTTTTAGCTCCTCCATAACCCCAAGGCTGGTGGCGCTGTGAGAAGACGGGAGGAGGACAGCAAGGTGCCATGAAACCTTACAAATGTGGTGCTGCCCTGGTACCACCCACGCTGTATAATGGTTCAGGCACCTCAGGGCCGGTGTGGCCCTTGTGCTGACAGATGTGTGTTCAGCAAACACGCTCAGGGCCAGCAGGCCACCATCCCTACCCTGCCACTCCAGCTGGGCTCTCCTCCGTTAGCTTGTGCCTCTGCTGAGCAGAGATCCCCAGACGGTCTCGGGATAAATGATCCCAGCTGGTCTCAAGGAGTTTCTTCAGGCTGGGCCGTACCCGTGAGGCACCCAGATGTCCATCCACGAGCAGCTCCTCGCTGACAGGAGCTCCCCAAACCACACGCAGGGCCCTGGAGCCCCATCTGCTCGCCTCCATCCCCATGAGATGGCACGTTGGCAGAGCACCTGCGCCTCGCAGGACTTGTGTGCGT